GTTAGGCAGTCTTTTATGAAGATATCTTATATGTACTAGATTTATTCTACAAGTATCTAATTTTTTTCACAGTCAAAATAATATTTTTAAGGTTAAGTATTTGTTTTCTTATAACTTTGTTAAGCACAGTACCTTAAATTTGAATGATTAAAATAGACAATTTGAATAGCTTACTTTAAACATTTTCTAAAATGCTTCATTCCAACTGAAGTTATTGTTAGTTTTTGGTACTCAAAAAAAAATTGAAATGTATTTCAATGTGACATGAAATGATTACAGCAATAGTAAATCTTTTTAATGAGCATTTTATGTGAATTTTTTAAGTAAGTGTCCTGCACATACCCACTATCTTAAGGAGGGATAAGATGGAACAGTAGACCTTGATATTCAGATGACATTTCTATTCTTTTAAATAATGTATTTATGAAAGCCATAATCATGAAAATTGATCACGTTCTATAAAATCTTGAAAACCTATGTTAGAGTGATAACTATCCTGTGATTCAACCAGAAGGGTCATAAACTTTTATGACCCCTAGTAGGTCATGAGGCAGAATCACACGGTTGTGTGACTTCCATCCAGCCAGTTGGTCAATTCACACTATCTTATTACCTGCATCCTCCCAGAGAATCATTACTGGGTCTTCTGTTTTAGGCCCGCCTGTTTGATGTTGTTAACTGTTAATAAAAGGCTTTGCCATGAAGGGATCTGTGTGAGAAGGTGCTGGTTTTCCGAGCCAGCAGCTTCTCTCTGCTCTGCAGACGCTGACGTCACAAAACCCTGTCTCTGTGTTGATCATTTCCTTTTAATCTTTTAAACTCACATTTCTCTGGATTAAAACCCAACATAACAACCTATGTACCTAAAAGTGTTGCAAAGATATCTACAGTATAAAAATAAAAGGAAAAGGAAATGAGAGCAGCTCAGTTGTTATTTGTGGACTAATAAACATAAAGAGGAAGTAAAAGTGTCTACATCAAACTAAAATCTGTAAGAAACTATAAAATAAAACAGTTGTTTTATTGTAATTTTGTTACCATTATAATCTTAAAGTCATAGGGAAGTCATATTTCATCTGTCAATCTATTTTTTTCGGTCATAGCATCTTAATTCATATGTTGCAGCTAATATACGCAACGGTTGAAATAAAAAATAAGAGTCATTTAGTTTACCATTGAGTTCCGTCCCAGAGTTCACAGGGATGGATGTCGTTTATCTGCCACAAAAACGATAAAGGACGAATCACATTCACTTTATTCACTCGTGTAAAGTCAGGCACCACTCAGGAGAATTTGGAAATGCAACGGTAGGGCTGGGAATTGAAAAGATTTTCACGATTCCGGATCCCTTATCGATTCTCTGAAAGGATTTGTGATATAAAACAAGCTACTTACCACCAGAATTGCCTTCCATGCTGGTCAAAACTTCAGCTTATGTCCAGAAATACTAGAAACACGGTATTAAAATGTATGCCATATTGTGTGCGCAGGTGTTTCTGCATGTTAGATGTATTTCCTCCTGTGGATGTAATTGCCACTTTGCAATGATTGCAAAGCACCTTGTTGCCATATTTCTCTTCCTTAAAATGAAGCCAATCTTTCGAATGCTTTGACCGCTTTTGTTTTGCTTTTCTAGACTTACGCCTGGTCACGTCGTACTTGCTTACTGAATACTGTGTGCGTAACTTGCAGAAAAACGTGACATGAGTTTTGCTGCCCAGAGCCGCTCTGGTGCTGCCTGGAACCGTTAAGAGAATCGTTAAGTGAGATGCCAAATGGTGCCATGGCATTGGAACACACGGAACCGGTTCTGAACAAGAACCAGTTTTCAATTCCCATCCCTATGCAATGGTTGGAACAGCCGCTTCCCTACGCCTTTAAGGTGAGACAGCTGAACGTACATATTTAACCGTTAAAAAATTAAAAACACCCTCAAAAATGTAGAGGCAGACTCTGAAGAAAAAACACAAAATACTAAATATTTAACTAAATATACTTATATAGTTATTTGTAACAAAGAATTAATTATGGAGAGCATAACGCTGATACTTCAGTCATTTATATCATGAGAATTAGGATTAGTTATATTAAGAACCAACAGAGGAGGCAGTGACTATAAGAGGAGAACGTGTCGAGGGTGCAGAATAGAAGAGAAATGGAACTTAAAAGAGGGGATGGCATCAATTATTCATGTCATGTTTAATAATAAAATGAACTCATTCATACTCAATTGATACAGATCAAAAAAGGTGCAGAGACTTTGCACACTCAATCCAGGCACTAAGGAAGAAGTGCTCTAGCATAAATCATCAGACGACAAAAGGCTTCATTAAAAAACATGACAACATCTCATCATTTCCACATCTTCAGCATTTTAAAATAAAAAAATTAAACATTCTTGTGGCAATGTTATTGTATATATCCTATGCCTCATTGAAAACGGGTGTACTTATTCTTAGTGTTAGTATACAATGCATGATTTAGCTGGAACATTGACATAACTTTATCAGTACAACCCTGTTTTTAAAAAAAATCTTAAAAATATTTTAACAGTTGGCAAAAGAAAATATTATTGTCACTATCTACCCACCATGCTGAATTACTGAATTATCTTCATGCAAAATAAAAAATTTAAAACAAATATCCTATATAAACGGGTTTACACTAATAGTTTAGTACAAGAGTAAAAACAAAGTAATTCCTTCTACCATATTTTTCTTCCTTTTTTATTATCAAAAGAAACTTGATGAACTGCTGCTTTGTTGCTTGTAACACAAAGCAATAAAAACATTTATTTGCAACCTGTTTTGGAAGATCGACTATCAATGACCACTAACTTTCCCTCACCTGATTTAGTCTTAATTGATGGGACTTCTTCACTTGTACAAAAACATGTGTATACTGTTCTAAACACTAGAAATAGCTAATAGCAAACAAAGCAATTCAATATTAGTCTGATAAAACATTGTAGTTATCTCCAGCAATTGTCTAACAGGTCAAAGCATCAAAAAATTACATATTGTATTTTTTTTAAATAACAATGTGTATCCTGTTGTGCCTATCCAACATCTAAAAAACTTATTTTATTTTGGTGAATAATAAATATCAAACATCAAACTCATTAGTCAGCTGTTTTACTGTAGCTGTTGAATTATGAGCAACTATAGTCATTAATAAAATGTCAAATATACACAAACAAAATGTAACACAGTGAAAATGAACAAGTACAAACAAAACTTTATTTCTTTCTCACGTCATCTAAAAAGAGAATAAAAAGTTTTCCTGCTGAGGTTATTGCTTTGGAGGTAACATACTGTTACTTTAAGGAGGAAAGATAATTTTGTTGCTCATCTTATTTAGAAATCTATTCCAAATGATGTCATAAGAGAAGAAAATGCAAGAGCGAATATCTAAAAACAGGAAAATAACCGGAAACAACTTTCAATTAGCATGGTCAGCTGAACCAAACATATATATATATATATATATATATATATATATATATATATATATATATATATATATATATATATATATATATGTATAATATTTTTATAACCACACCTTTAGCTCTATGCATTTAAGAAAGCCTGTCCTTGTAGCTTGATACCAAGGAAGTGAACAAAAGTCTAAGTAAGAGATTGCTGAATTTCTCGAAGCCTTGTATTGCTGAATTAATAACCAACAGTGCATTGCCTCCAAAGCTTGTAGGTTTTTAGTAAGACACTATTTACATGTTTCCCACCCAAATCTAGTCAAAAAGATCACCAAATGAAAAATGAAGAATGCATTTAAAAAAACATTTAAAACTATGCTTTCTATCCTATTAGCATTTTTTTTCGCAGTGTCAGAAACTGAGGGAAGCACTGATCCATCATCTAATAGTCAGTTTTCTATTGATCACAAGTTTGAATATGTTAGCTTTGAATATACAGCTTTAAACACTTAGGTGCATTTCCTTTTTGATAACTCTAAAACACAACAGAGACCCAGGTTGGAAAACAATTGACAAGATCACTGCAAATGACAAAGGATTAGGATGCTTCAAATGTACACTATCTAAAACAAATGGTGGAAAATTACAGATTGTAGCAAAGCAATGAGTCAAGCGGTGTAAATCCAAGGTGGGTTAGAGGCCTCCATGCATATTTTATGACAGCAACAAACACCATGTCAAGTGTCAAAGTAAGTGTTGGAAACAACCGCTACTTCTCCTGACACAACCGCAACTTCCTTCATCAAGGCCGTCAAGGGCATGCATGCAGCATCACATGACTTTCACAATCCTTCCCCCAGTTCCTTCAATTTTAGCACCTTTAAAAATTCTTTATTTATCTTCTGCATAGCAGCAACAAATCATTGATGGACACCATATCCACAAAAATGTTTACATAAAAATGTATCTATAGAAATTGAGGGGGATAAAAAACATTGCGAAGTCATTTGTGAAGAGAATAAAATCAGGCTAAAATTAGATATAAAACTGATGCATCATCTGCCATAGCTACAGACAATGCAACAATGTTTCCATCAGCATGACTGCACTAAAATCATGATTCAACATTAATTCTTATAATTAAATCCTTTCTGATCTGCAGTGTGATCTACATTCTATTCAAACTAGATCTCTTGTGGCCTTACCAAGCCGTGTAAAGCAGAGTTGAGGTAGACCCAGAGTGAACCGGGAATAAGGCAATCTGTGATGTCTTAGAGTTACCTTCATGGAATTTGGAATTTGTTTCTTTAGGTTGGTCTGTAAAGGTATGTTTTATAAAGTGATTACTGTTGACACATCATAGCTGTTGAAGATTCTCAGTCATCCAGGTCATAGTCATTCCAAAAAAGTAAAAGAAAAAAGATAAAATATATATATATATATATATATATATATATATATATATATATCCTCTGGAATTTGTTTTCCAAGTTTGAAGATGTTTTGAAGATGTTTTGCAGAAGACAAAACTTCTTCAAACTTGGTCCAAACTTGGTCCAGTGGATTTTTTTTTTTTTTACAGTGTCCTGTCCCGCAATGTGGCAATAAAAAGTATTTTCTTGATGCCAAAAAGACCCCCAACAGATTTTACATTTTTTTTTTACTTTAACTTTTTCGGAATGACACATCATACCATAACTACCAAATATCCTTTATAATGAGCAGATAGGGTGATCTTTTTGCTTAGATATGTCAGGGAAACATCCTCACCTCTCCATCCCCTCCCTCTTTTCAGCAGGAGATGATAAAGTGCACAAATGATCACCTCAAAGCCATTAACTGCTGCCCTCCTTATGAGGGAGACACTTCTGCCAAGGGCTACAGGGAAGCGCCAGCAGCAGGAAGAGGATTCCACCCACGATAAGAACAGCACCTGCACAGCCTATACATGACACAGACCAGGAGAGCTCATGGTGGAGAGGAACCGTGTGGTCGCTTGCCAAGAAAGAAAGGACAGACTGGTGGAAAACTATGAGTGACAGAAGCACCAGAACACCTGTAGGAGGTAGAGAGCAACAGCAGATGAAAGGAACAATATAGATAGATACAATATCTTATGCAAATGAGGGATAGTTTAATGTTTCATAGCAGTCTGCAGCTACTTTTACTGACCTGAAAGAATAAAGCATATAGATGCTGGCTTTAGGAAGAACAGGATCTCTTTACTGAGAGACATTGTGATGCAGATGGCCCCCATCACCATCAGAAAAAGGCTGAACAGGGCCAACATTGCTGCAGCCACATTCAAGTCTGATCAAAGGAAAATGAATGCATCATTAAAGCACAAAAAATAACCTACTTCAACTTTATTTATCAGAATTAGTACGTGGAGGCGTACAGAGTCAGATCGATGTGTCACCAGTGGGATTTAGATGTACATCTGTCTTTCTTTATTCAGTCTATAGCACTGTGTAATTTTAATACATTATGAAGCTGCTGGAGAAAATGAGACGTTAGACTGCAGCTCAGAGACACTCCAACAGTGTGGGTGGAATACATATTAAAAACTCAGAGTGCAGACAATAGCTAACCTGAAAGAGTGAGGGAAAGAGGTGAAGATAAGCACATGGAAAACAGCATGAAAATAAGAGTGATTGAGATGATAGTAAGGAGGACAAGAGAAGCAAAGCAGAAGGGCCAGGAAGGCAATACAGGAAGGTGCTTTAAGGTGTAAAAATGGACATAAAAGAGGATGGATATAGTGGAACTGTGTGACTCACTCTTTTCTGTTGTTTTCTGAAACAGGACAGTATTTTCCCCCGTGGTGAAAAATTTGAAGTAGGTGCAGTTGGATTCTGCAGCAGAGAAAAAAGGAAGAATAGCTGCTATAATGGACATGGACTCAAACACTGACAGTTAATGTGCATCAGCGCAGCTTCCTATTGAAATTCAAGGAGTCACGTCTCACTTATTCTCCCACATCCCACTCTGGTACAATCTAATTTCAATTGTTCTATATCAACCAAAATCAGTTGTGAGCAACAAAGACAGACTCAAGGTGACGAACCCAAAGCTTCCTGTACACTTTGTATTCCGCTGTGGGAATTTTGTGTTACAGCAATAAGAGTTTGACAGTCAAATTGATTCTGACACCTCTATCTGTTAAACAAAACACGCACACACGTCACTTTTAATTAGTCTGATGAAAGCCTTAGCCTCAAAGTATTATGCTGTGTTTTGCAGATCGCAGCAATTTCATATAGTCCGTTCCACAGCTGGACAAGTGCAAATTCTGACATCAAGTAAGAGGAGTAGATAGAATTTTTTTTATTTTTTTTGGCAAAAAAAAAAAAAGAAATATATATATATATATATATATATATATATATATATATATATATATATATATATATATATATATATATATATATATATATAAAAAAGTATATTGAAAAAATTAGCTGATTGACATCAAAACGATCTCTACATTTGGTTGAAAACTGCAATTTTCAATAATACATAGAAAAGACATTCAAAAACAAGTTTTCAAAATCTTTTCAACGTCCATTATTGGACTAAAATGGGAGAAAATCTGACTTACCAGAGGCAGGCCAGTTTTCGGCAACTATTTCTGAACTAAATGAAGACTATGATGCACTAACCAGATTCAGCCTAAAAACTAACGTGTAAAACTAAATGACATCTGGTGTTTGACTGGAATTGTGATCGATAAGCACTGGTTATACAGTCGTATTTGATAAACTAGGAAAAATTTACCAATAAGGCTAGTTTCATAGATTAATATTCTTTTTAAAAAGTCTTTATTTAGTCATTATAAAATTATCTAGACTAATCTTATGCATATTTTTTCCATTAACTGTAAATAAAGAAAATCATCATAATCAACAGAATGACAGTCAGAATGTGTTTAATAATGTATTTAATCTGTTTCACTTCAGTAACTTGAAAAAGGGATCTTTTCAATAATATTCTGAATTAATTTTAATATGCAGAAATTCATGTATCAGCAATGACCTTCCTGTGTGAGTGAGGTCTACCGATAACAGAACCAGGGTGAGCCGTTTATGTCAGAGTACCAAACAAGTAAATACAGAACGCAATGTATGTAATTTTCAAGTTTGCACTGGCTCAAATCTGTAAAATGTGAGCCCAGGACCAGAGAGGAAAACCTGGGTGGGTTCTGCTCTTTCTCCCACTGCATTGTGAAGGCCTGCCCAAAGCAAACGTGATGATGCTTCTAATGCTTTAACGTGCATTAAACTTTTACTGTAAAATGCAATAGGTCAAAAATTGCATCCACCTTCTGGTTTCCACTTCTCCAGAGTAACATAAAATAAAGACTACAAGGCTACAAAGACTACAAAGATGCCATCTACCTTGACCCTTTAACATATTCTTCCCTAAATGGTCTTGAACTATTGCTTTTATGGCAATTAAACAATCTCTAATGAGGTAAAAATAAAAAAAAGCCATAATGTTAACCCTACTGTTATTTACTTAAATACTAAATAGATAAAGACTTGATGAAAAAAAATCTTTAAATATATGCAGTAAGGTTACATAAATCAATACTGGCATTCTTCAACAGCATATACAGTATATAAGGCCAATTACTCGGGCTGGGTGATAAATGGATTTTAATGTTTATGAGATTTGATTTGTTTTAGAAAAAAAAATATTTTTTTTAACCAATACACTCCTTGAGCTACCATAACTCAGAGTGAAATCAGTTCTTCCCTTTTTCTTTTTAGATGTCTATGCATAAAAGATAAACTAGCTCTATGTGTAACACTGCTAGCTGCACACAATAAATGTGTGATATTTTCATTGATTGTTTTCAAACATGATTGTTTAACATGAAGGGTTTGCAGCTTGGATTGTGTTGTTAAGGTCACCTCACAGCGGGGACGACTGAAATAAAAGCTAGTTTTTAAAAGTAATTGATCATTTTTGTTATGAAACTTGAGGGAGAAAAAAAATATGTTAATAGGATCTGGTAGGAAAAAAAATCCGAGATTTCATAATGTTCACACTTATTTGAACAAGATGCCAGACTAAGTTTTCTCTGTATGCATGTCTTTAGTGTCAGAACCAGCTTTTCCATATTCTCTTTCAAACCTACATCAATAATATTTAATGAAATGCCCTTAATTTATCAGATTTTATTCTCAAATGCTGGAATTGTAAAGGAAATATGTTATATTCATGATACTAAACATGATAGATTTACTATGTGGACACCCTAGTCAGAACCTCAAGTATCATAAGTAGTGTTGTACCCAATCTGAAAACAAAACTGGGATCATTTCAGCCTGACATGCTTGGAGTGACTCAGCCAGTTAGTCAGCCAGGTTTCAACCAATCGCTGTCACATTGTGAGCCAGGCATCATTTGTCTACCCGGAGAGTCAGGTAGACCACTCAGACAAGCTTACTCACTGCCTCAAACTGAGCTGTCTAACGGTTTCACAGTCAGCCAGTTGGCCTGTCAATCATCTGCCTGAACCTCACTTCCACCAGCAGAACAAATGAACCCCATGATCCAATCCAAGTAGTCAGATATCTTTTTGTCACCTCCAGGCAGCTCAGCAGGTCCACAGCTCTCCCGCTCTGGGTCGATATCTGCCACCCACAGGGTCTTGGTGCAGCCTTTCCATAAACCATAGTGAGCTGTCAGACAAGTCTGTGAAACAAATAACACATGATAGACAGCAGCATTCTTTGGTCCAAACGAAATGTACAAAAAGCAAGTTGCTTTTGTTGTTTTTTCTTCCTGATGCTACTGATGGAGTACCATCCATGGTATACCATTAAACCTATTGTAATGGAAGCACTCTTTCATATTTTACCTGATTGTTGTAAAAATGCTTTGGGGGTGCCAGCTCCACCCAGAACTCTGTCCCAACTCCGAGAACCGTCAGGACAACGCCCACTATGGCCACAAAGAACGCCAGCTTTATCTTGTGGGAAAAACACAATAAATCATCTGTTAATTAGAGGCTTTTTTATTCTTCTTGCTTTCACACTTTAAGAGTTAGCTCAGTTACAATGTTTGCTGTTACTGAGTCACTTAAGTACAGTATCCTTTTCTACTCAAACTGTCAAACATTGAAATTGTAAGTTAAACAGACAGAGAACATTTGCTCTCTAGAAAAGTTAAGAAAAAACATTCACTACATGTAGTGTGCCCATTCTTTTTGTCAGTAGTGAACGTCAAGTCTCACCTGTCCTTAATTATTTCACTCATGACAAACAAAGCCCAACCCCTTGGACAGCATCTCAAAACTCAAACACCATATTCACTGTTTCTAAACTGTTACTTTAAGCATGCAGATATTTTCAAACCAGTTTATCTCTCTAATAACATTTGATGAATACAACCTTAATGTACATCTATAAAGTAGCATGAAGTTTTTCTCCTGCAAAAAAAAAAAAGATCTGAAGCTTCTTACCATTTTAGGCCAGGTGGTAAACCAATATCGTTGGTAAAGTTAAAAATTCAATAGAAGATAACTAAAGTGTTCCGTTTGTATCCAGAAAAGCACAAATAATGTTATTTTTAAGGCATTACAGGCTGCAAGTAGCAGAAGAAAAGGAAACCTCCATCACTCATACAAATAATATAACACTGGATTAGCTTGGTGCTTAGTTGTGCTCCTTACAATTTATATTATGGAAAATAAATACTCCCGATTAAAAGGCAATGTTGTTTAAAAGTTGCTAGGGTTCATTAGCTGAGCGTTTTGATTTTTTGTAGGATCTAAATTACTTTTTGGGATTTATAACCTCGTAAAACTTCTCCAAAGGTATTCCCTGTTGGTTGACATGCCATTTAACTAAAAAAATGCTTGCTCAATAAATAAGAGAAAATAACAGCAACACTAAGTTATCCATCCATCCATCCATCCATCCATCCATCCATCCATCCATCCATCCATCCATCCATCCATCCATCCCCTCCTAGTAAATCCATCAGGGTTGTAGTGGGGCTGGTGTCAGACACCAGCAGTGTATGAGCAAAAGGCAGGTTACACACTGGGCAGGTTGCCAGTACACTAAGTTATGTTTTTTATAAAGTAGTTGTATTATGGGCTGCACAGTGGAGCAGTTTGTAGCACTGTTTCCTCCTTTCAATAAGATGGTCCTGGGTTCACGTTCCAGCTCAGCATCTTTCTGCATGGAGTTTGAATATTCTCTCTGTGAATATATGGGTTCTCTCTGGGTATTCTGGCTTCCTCCCGCAGTACAAAAACGTGTGTTAGTTTAATCGGAATCTATTAATTGTCTTAGGTGTGAGTGTGTGTGTGCATGCTGTTTCCCTCTAACAGATTGGCGACCTGTCCAAGGTGTACCCTGCCTCTCAGCCATAGACTGCCAGAGATAAGCACCGGCCCCAATGCGACCTCTATGAAATAAGCAAGAAAAGATGGATGAATGGATAGATAGTTGTATTATTTGTGTTTCTACAGTATAACCACTTGATAGTTTTCATTAATTGGTTTAAGGCTGCGTATTTACAACTGTCAGGGTGTCCAGGTTAAAAAAACAAAAACATTTTTCATTCCAGGTTTTCCAGACATAAATGTTTTCCTAACTCCTAACAACATGGTGCCCATATACTTATTGGTAGCATTATATATCTTTGGTCCTCAAAAGTGTCAACTTGTATTTTTCCAACTAGGTTTTGCTTGTGATGGTCAGGATCAAATTACACATATAGTATAAGCAGCCATTGTTGAAATAATATTTTCGATGGTTATTGGCAAAATCTAGAATGATGTTTCAATTAGAATAATTTGTTAAAAAAATAAAATTGAAAAAAAAAAATCATTCTAACCATATTAGCACATTGGACAATATACTACAGGTTCTTCAACCTTCCGATGTTTTGATTCACTTCTTTCAAGAATTTTCATGAACCCAATCTAAAGCCACCAACCTTTCCCTCTTGGGCTTCGCTCATGGCACGTCCAGTCGATGTTGTCCTTCGGCGCTTGTTCCCACCGAAGGTGCTGCGTCCACCCATCAAAGTGGCCAGGCCCCCTGCACCTTGTGCAGGTCCTCCTGGTGCAACAATCCCACTGGTTCCAGCTGTTCCTGGGACCACGGTGCGGCCCTCCTCATCCGTCACAAAAATAGTTGACCACATTTTGTTGGTAACAGCAGAAAAATCTGATTCCTTTTGGTGGTTGAAGGGCTTGTTAGTTGATATTGTGGGTGTGAAATATAAATATCAAGTATATGAAATAAGGGATGGGGGGATGCGGTGGAGAGTAAAGAATCTCTCTCTACAGCTGTATCTGACACATCTAAAAGGCCAATGCATAGGCAAAATAGAAAAAATCTCAAACAAAAAAAGTCTGAAAAAAATAAAGAAAATCAATAGCAGGAAAAGAAGAAAAAAGAAGTATCTTAAAAAGTCACTGATCAAGGCAGGAAGTTTCTTGGAAAGTTTTGTTGGTTTAACATCAAAAATTGCACAGATTCATAATAGCAAACTGCTTTAGCATGAAAAAAGGCCAAAACATGCAAAAAAGTTCTCAGTTGAGGAACATGAGTAAAAGTGAAGAGCAGAGGGCAAAAAGGCAACAGGAGCTGGGAGGGGAAAAGAAAAAAATAAAGACAAAGGCTTAGATTTAAAATATGAAAAACAACATTATCGGTTGCGTATGCCTTTAGATAGGTCAGAACTAAGAATGCAGCATTACAAAAACCTTCATTGAATGCTAATGATGAAAATAAGTTACTGCTAAAAGCTCTAAAACTGACCTAAAAATAATGAATGCTTTGTAAATACTGTCCACACATTCAAACACTATAACAGCCCAAAAAAACATCTCTAAAAAAGTAGCACTAATATTTAATTTCTGTTTTTAATCAATAAAGTATTTTTGATGAATTATAATAAAATCATAAAATTATTTGAAATACTTTAAGACTAACAGAATTATTATGAATTATTGATTTATTTTCTAATTCTTTTGAATCAGAATCAGAATCAGACATACTTTAATAATCCCAGAGGGAAATTACTTTGTCATTAACAAATCCAAAAATATATACTTTCTGTTAATGTTTTTCTATGTTTTCTTTTTCTTTCCTTATCTTTTTTTTCTATATTCCTGTTGTTATTAATATTGGCTGCCATAAAGCTGTTACAAGCCCTAGCCTGCTGTATAGATTCTGTGGAACAACATTGCCCATTGTGATGTCATTGATCCTCCTGTTTCCTGAGACTCTCTAAGTATCTCTGTTGCACACAATCCTGAACCCTTGCTGTCTGTCCTATGAATGAAGCAGCTGTGATTCTGCATTCTGCACAGATACAGTGACAACAGACATGACATGCAATCCTTTCTGTTGTTAGCAAAAATGAAACACATCCCCTGGGGAGAGCACATACTTTTCCTGACACATGAGCATCTGTCTTGTTAACAAGACAAACATCTTCACGTATTTAAAAGGTTTATTTTAAGTGAGACTATAACTAGGAAAAGGGAAAACAATATCTTAGTGACATATTTCTTACTATGTGTAAGATTCCAGCAGAATAGAAAAAAAACTATTTCAGCTGTTTTAAGGGTTTAGTTGTGTTCTTTCTTATTCGACAGCAATCATAAACTCCTTTTTTGCATTTTATCATAACCCAGCCACACACCTTAGTGTATTTTATATGGATTTGATGTCAAAGACCAAAACAAAGTAGAGCAAAGGAAAGGAAACTAAACTCAAACATGATTTTCGAAAAATAAATACAAAGGATCTCTGAAGCTCCTCCAGAGCTTTCATTTAATTATTCTAAAATAAATGCTGCCCTACCCTGGCCTCATCAATTAGCAGTTATACATTAATCTTTTCAATTTTGAACCGAAGGGTTTTCTTTTAAATGACCCTCAAATGTTGTTCTATAAGCCACCCTGCTCATGATTTTGTTTCTTCTCTTATTAAACCTTTGGTGTCTTAGCAAAGGAGATATCATTATCATAATAATAACTGAACTTTGTAGACCTCATATTGGAGAAATTTACCTCTGCATTACCCCATCCCCTTGGGGAGCAGGGCGCTGCCATCCTAGAGCAGTGTTCTCAGATTATACTACACCGTACGCCATCTATCAATTGCATAAATATTAAATAAGAAACATTAATGTGTTTGGCTGTAATTGTACAAAAACTTTTATGTTTAAGGTGTATTAATACTTTTGAAAAGGACTGCTTTAGACTGGGACGACAACAATGCTTCACGTTTGATCTTGGTTTTTTTGTCGTTAACGTCACAGCATCATTAGCAAAGTAATGTTTGAGACGTTCTTCAAAAGCCTTACAGTACAAAGTTTTCACAATATCAACTTCACACACTGCACAAGAACTAAGGTCTTGCTCCTGGCAACTGAAAATACATCTCACATATTTGTTGGAAAGGACTAATATTAAATTACTAATGATACACATTTAGACAGGAGCTCCAACATGATATCCAAGTGTAACCAAAGCAACTGCTTTACTGTTTGTTGCTTAAGTAGAAATCTAAATGTGGAGCTTTCACACAAAAATAAAAGCAGGTCGTGGACCAAAGACAGCTAAAGCATTTAAACTCCGTCATAAAAGCAACTTATGTGTCCCTTCAGCTGCTCCCATTTTCAAGGTTCACTGCTGCAATTCATTACAACTTGCTCACAGCCTTGGCAAAGCTTTTGCACCTGATGCTGTTCTTGACACAACCAGGATTTAAAGCCAGTTCCCTCACATTACAGTGACTGACTTTAACCACATTTTAAACTACTTTACAGGGCATTAGGTTACAAATTTCCTAAAGTTCAATTTAAGGGATTTTTACAACTGTCACTTTACTATTTATTAAGTTGTATGCTTTCTAAAACATCTTCAAAAATGCACCAAACTTAAGTTTGTGATAACAACAGTGATAAACACACAAACCTTGACTGATGAAAACACAAGAGTAATCAGCAACAACAGCAGTTTTCACACTTGTCATTACAGCTTAGCCTGGACTGATGCAGGTGGTTTAGAGCATTAGAGGGTGTTGAAAAGAGTCTCAGTACCAGCTACGAATGATGAATAAAATATTCTCTCCATTCTCCTCAAAGCTGCCAACGGTGCTCCTTCCAAGGCATCCACATGGACAGATTGGAAAGCCCAAAAACTCAAAACTTGACAAAACTTTTTACAGCTTTAAACAGTTTCAAAAAAAAAATAAAACATTAGCTAATGAATCTTAAGGTCTACAAAGCTTAATATTATTCAAGGTTTTAATCATTTCTCAAAAGCAACAAGGTCCACGAACACTCTATGCAAGCAACTTTGTTAAATGATGATCAGCAGCTCTTTTTGCTCCAAGCCCTGCCCTCCAATACGCACCAAACACATTTCAGAAGCTAAAAAAAACCATCAACACGCTAAAGTTAAAGCCATTACTTTTATTTTGTCACACTTTAACACGTGCGGCACGCGTGCCTCGGTGTTTGCCGTCACTTCACAAATATCACAACAATGACATTAACGAGGTTGCTGACCTGTTTGCTGACCTGTTTTTTGTGTGTGTGGTTCTGCTCGGAGTGGAAGTGGGCGAGGTGAGGCGTGGAGAGGGAGTGAGAGCACAGCAAGAGGCAAACGGGTGACAGAGGGTGGGAAAGGGGTGGAGGTCAAAGTAGCTTGATGTTACGTCTGAGGCAGGATAGGCTGGGCGGCTGAAGCGGCTGAAAACTAATACACCTTAGATGCCACTGTGTGTATGTAACTATGTCCTGCAGCTCTCTTTTCTGTTCTCACACACAGTTCCTAGTAAAATCTAATAATTTATATCTTTTTACTTGTAAAAGTATGTGCACATTCCTATATCGTCATATGCAAACTGGTGCATTTCGGTTTTCCCAACGACTTGTTGAGAATGTGTGTGTGAGGTATGCAGTCACACTGAAGCCTCTGTAAGCCAGTCTGTTTGTTTGTTCTTTCGATGATGGCGGCACAGAATGAGATTTCCATTTTCCCCTTTTTAAACACACTTGAGTGAAACTGTATCAGATTGCAGCCACTCAAACCTCTCCGTAACTGTGTGTACATACATGCATGTGACTCCTCCCCAGCTATTTTTGCCCCCCACCTGTTAATGACTATAAAGCCGACTGAGGGGAAAAGGCCATCGTCGGGGGGGGGGGGGTTGTGTCAGCTCAGTCCAGGGTGAGGGTCTCACGTCTGCAGCTCCCACTACAATCCTGCTTATTGAGGAGGCAATAGTTGAGTCAACACCTCGAAGACAAGTATCACAGCCGGTGGGGTGTTTGTGGGCGCCCTTGGTCCTATGTCAGAGCTGAGGGATCAGTTTCACCAGACAGTGAAAACCTGATACTATCCTGCCTGCTGACAGAGGCACTCTGTCCAATTTTTGAATGATGGGATTCAGAGTTGTTTTATACAGGAAGTTGAGTATATATATATATATATATATATATATATATATATATATATATATATATATATATATATATATATATATATATATATATATATATATATATAATTAAAGATCTATATATATATATATATATATATATATATATATATATATATATATATATATATATATATATATATAATTAAAGATCTATATATATATATATATATATATATATATATACTCAACTTCCTGTATAAAACAACTCTGAATCCCATCATTCAAAAATTGGACAGAGTGCCTCTGTCAGCAGGCAGGATAGTATCAGGTTTTCACTGTCTGGTGAAACTGATGTTTTTTGTAGTAACTACAGAAAACATCACATAGCTGCTGTCATAGACAGATGAGGAATACTTACTCTTTTCTCCTCCTTGCTATTAATACTCTAATCTTTTGCAATTCAATATGTTTTATAAAGAAATGCTAAAAACCAGTCATCCATTTTCTATAACCGCTTGTCCGTTAGGGTCACATGGAGCTGGTGCCTGTCTCCGGGGGTCCTTAGTGCAAGAGGCAGTATTTGTCCTTAGAAGGTTGTCAGGGCAACACAGACGGGTACCTAGAGGATATAGAGGGATATAAAGGGTCTGATCAATTTAGTAGTCATGTTGTTTTAGAACCAAGGGCAGAAGTTAGAGTTCGCTGAGAGAACATGCAAAGTCCATGCAGAGACGTCAGGTTCAAACAAAGGCAACACTTCTATCGACTACTTTACTACTAAGAACTTGCTTGTTCACATCTAAATGCAAAAAATAAACAGAAATAAATAGACCTACAATAGATTAGAGAAGAAAAGGAAAACATAAATGTAATATATTGCATATTTGAATTGACCAAATAAAAACAACCATTTAACCAATAACCACAGTTAGATGATCATAAAAAAAAACTTCAGTGTCTGAGTTTTTTTTTCAATGGTCAGAAAATTTATTAAGTCTTCCGTTTGTTCAGAGAGCCTCTAGGTGGCTTGTCCTCCTGTTGCCGTAGAAGTCAAGAAACTACTGCAGTGAGATATGCCTTGCATTGTGATTAGGCGGTGCAAGTGCGAGCAAGAAGGTCAGACACACAAAGACAGACGGCTTATTGTGAGTAGTGAAAAAAAAGAAGGAAAGTGCAGTGAAAAAGAACTAAAAAAATCCAGGAAAGTCAGACAATTCATGCAGAAAGAGCCGACTCCCCTCTAACCTGAGCGGACAAATGAAATAAAATGCCACACCATAACCATTATGTGAATTAGTTTTTTTTTTAATTTTAGTTATGGACATCATATATTCCACAATTACTAATCTGTTCTTTATCATAAAGAATATATGTCAGTTATTCTATTTTTTTATAAGTTCTTCCTTTGTTTGGTACAAATAGTAGCTACTGCAAATAGAACAGAAAAGAATATAAATTACAACAATTTATTATCTATACTTTCCATAAAATTGAAGCTTAAGTAACTCTTGTACACTAAACCATGAATATTAAGTCTTAAAAAACACTAACAGCTTCAAAAATACAAATAAATGAATCCATGGAACAGAGCAACTACAGTGGGAAGACAATTGTTTGAATTAGTTAGATGTTAGATCTTAAAAAGCCTCTTCTTAATATTCTAATGTAGGTGGCGTAATTTAAATGAATTATCATTTAATTGCATGACATACAATGCCTGTTGATTCTTTTTTCAGAATCTCTCCTGTTCTTTATTAACTGCTTCAGTTGGAACTTTTTTATCTGCATAAAAACACAACCTTTAACTCAGTCAAACAAGCTCTACTTAATGGCAAAGAGAGAGCTGTGGAAGGACGTCAGGGATAAAATAGTTGAAATATTTCCACCAGGTGAGGAATAAACAACCGTAAAGCAGGGAAGAGAAGGCAAGGCAAATTTATCTGTATAGTACAATTCAGTACAAAGACTATGCAAAGTGCTTTACATGATTAAAATATAGGAAAATAAAACAGAATCAAAGCATATAGGAAAAATAAAAAAAAAATAAAAAATGCAGAAAGGAAGGAATCAGCACCAGAGAGGCAGAACCTGGTCAATGACTGGAAAGTCAAGCATCCATCCCTCCATCCATTTTCTAACAAATGGGGTCGCAAGGGGTGCTAGTCCCTATCTCCAGCTGTCTACGGGCAAGAGGCAGGGTACACCCTGGACAGGTCGCCGGTCTATTGCAGGGAAAGTCAAGCAATAAAATTCTAAATACTCACTAAAGATAATTTAACTTTCATCGTTTTCTAAAACACTAGAGAGTACAAGTATAAATGTCCATCTACATAATGGAAGTACATACCTTTTATTTTACTGTGCAATTATTCTATGTCTTTATAAATGCTTATCTATGGTATACCATTTGTCATAGGAAATATGGATCTGGTCCTTTCTAAATGTATTTGTTTTACAATGTTAACAACAATCCTGAAGGTAGGTTTCTAGCCAGGAGTAGCTTGTGGGAGAGAAGGTTTTCCTGTAAGGAGTCTCAAAAAGGTTGTCTTTGCTATCCTTTTTTCTGTCAGATTTGTCATATTCACACCTCAAGTCAGAACATCCTGAAATCCACAACCAGTTATTTGTCTGTTGCTTGTTAAGGAGAAAGTTTTGGTCTCAGCCACTATAATTTGAAAAAAAATTATTCAAGAAATGCGGATTTTGACCTGTGTTGATTTAGAGGTATATGACAGATACATCATTACATGCAGTTTAAAAAAAAGCAATATGATATTATCAATAATATTGGTTAGACTATTTAGCCACTTTTGGGTATTGCAATCTTAATCCTATAATATTTACAATAATCAAATCAATAATTAAGAATACCAGTAAATTAAGACCCTGCCGATGCTCATTTGGTGGATTGTTTTATCAATGCACTCTATCAGTTATTGCAATATTCAAGAATATATGAGAGAACATGTGCATTTTACTCTTTGTCTTTTTTTAGACTATGTGTTCATGAAACCACATCTGCATGTATGTCTCATTGCACTGATGTAGTAAGATATTTAAAAATAGGCAACTACTTTCATACTATCTCATGTGTAATAGTAACCATCACCATTTGATGGCACTATGTGGCAGAGAGGCATAGAGGAAAGCAGGAGTGAAGGGTGTAAAGCTAAGCTGCTCTGATCCCTTAAGAATGCCGGGAGGTTGAACACTCTTGCTGTGTGCTACAGATGGGGATGAGAATAGATCCGGAGCATCCGGATGTCAGAACTGCCCATTTGCAGCCTCCTAAGATGGCTGTCCCTGGATGTTTGCAGCCTCCAAGAAATTGTGTTTATTCCTTTTTTCTTTTGTACAACTTAATCTCAACCCTTGCATTAAAATGTGACAGGTGTTTATATGACAAGAGTTTGTAGCATTTCTGTGTTCAATTTTGTCAAATGAAGCTGCAGATCAAACATTTTACTTTGTTGTACTTAAAGAGCAAAACAGGGCTTTATAATTTTCCCCACTTTTATAGAAACAAAAAAATGTTTTTTTTTCTTTTTGTTTTGTATTTTTTTAGCAGAAATCATAAAACATCATATTATTTCCATTGTTTTGGCGGTATTGTTTCTCTGCATATTGATATGTGTGCATAAAAAAGCAGCCCAGCTACCACAGAATACATTTTCTGACCTCAAAGTGGGATTAAATCTGTAAACATTACTGGTAGGTTTGAATCCGGATTTCCTGATTTTAGTAGGTCTTTTGGACAAGTTGTTATTTGTTGAAACATTTTACCTCTTTAGCCTAATAAAATG